TTGAGAGTGAAGTGTGTTGGGTGGATTTGCAGTGGATGCACCAGGGTGTGCATGTGCCTGGGCAGTCTGTTTGTGCGCATTTTTTACATTTAGTTTTACGGTATGTGCATTGGGAGGCAGTGTGGTTGTATTTGAGGCACTTTGTACATTGCTTAACCTGCTTTATATAGGGTTTGACTTCTAAGTTGGTGTGGGCTCCGAAGGATATGTGTTTGGGGGCTTCAGGGAATTTAGCGGTCTTTTTGAAGTTGATTATGACAATGGAGGTTGGGACCGTTTTTCCGTTTCTAGTTGAGGTTATTCTACGCGTGCTGGTGATTAGGGGTTGAGGGTTTTGGTCTTGGTTTATGTTAGCTTCTAGAGAGTATAATTGTAAGTCCTCAGTTGTTTCCCTTGGGTTAACCCTAATTACGCCTCGTGTATATTGTTGCCAATTAGGTGTTTGTTTGATTACTGTGACGTGGAATATTTGAGTTATTTTATTTGCTGCGTTGTAAGATTCTCGGTTAGGGAAGATTATCTGGTATCCTTTGTTGGCTTTTTTAATATTGTTGTAATTTATTTTTTCTCTTTTAAACCAAAGTCCTATTTTATCTGCCGAAAGTTCTAGTGAGAGAGTGGTGCCTGAGCCTGCTGAGAAGAAGTAGAGGGCGAAGGTCGTGAGGAAGGCGGCCGGGGAGGGTGTGGGCGATGGAGGTGGAGTGGATGTGTCGAGTTTGCGTTTTTTGGTGTTTTGAGGTGGCGAGTTAGCTGGTTTGGTGGGGGTGGTGTGTGTCGTGTTTTCGCCATACTCGGTCGGGACGATGTTTTCGAGTGACCTCCCGGAAGTGTTGTGCGCTTCCGCAGGCGTGGGTGAGTTAGGAGCTGGCATGTCTGCGAGTGTGGCGTTGCGGGTGTCAGCCATGTTGTTTGGAGAGTTGGAGAGCGTGTGTTGTGGTGAGTGTTGGTGGAGTGGGAGTGGTGTTTTGGGGAGGTGAGTTGGTTTGTTGTTTTTACTTGGTGAGTTGTGTTTAGGAGGCGGAGGAGGTTGCGGTGGTTATTTGTTGTTGGTTTTAGTAGGAAGGTTTGTGAAATGGATTAATTATTAAAGATTTATTTTGTTGCTGGAAGGCTGGGATTAGGTGAGACAAGTGGAAAGCGGGGATTAGGAGATATTTAGTCGAAGGAGTGGAGGTATGTGAGTGGTGGGCGTGGGTGGTGAGGAGGAAAGAGCGTGCGTTGTGTTAAGGAGAAGGGGGGATTAGGTGTTTTTTTGTTTTTAGGAGTTGGGTCAAAGGGTGTGTTTGAGTGGTGGGCGTGGGTAGCGAGTAGAAATGAGTGCGAGCTGTGTTAGGGAGATGGGGGAGGATAAGGTGTTGGTTATTTATAAGAGTTGAGTGTTGTTGTTGGTTTTAAGGATTTAGGGGTTTTGTGATTAATTCGGTGAGAGTGATGTATGTGAATAAGGATGAAAGGATAACGTGATAATTACCGATGATGGAGTTTCCTTGGCTGGCTATCAGGCAATGCTCTGTGCTGGCTTGGGAAGTGTTGCTCGCTTGGCCAAGACTCGATTATTTACAGACCGCTGTCCTATAGCTGGAATATTGCTAGGTTCGGCGTTAAACAACAAACAAACAAACGATGAGAGTGATTTTAAGAGTATGTGAATAAGGCTGAAAGGATAACGTGATAATTACCGATGATGGATTTCTCCTTGGCTGGCTATCAGGCAATGCTCTGTGCTGGCTTGGGAGGTGTTGCTCGCTTGGAGTACAAACTGCAACTGGTGACACGTTACCAGTAAACTGACTTGATAAGTAGCATAACAGTCAGTGTGGTTGGAAACTAACTAAGCCGTCACTACTCAATTAAGTAATTAACAGACAATTGCAAGTGATAATACCGACCTGACACTAATTGCCCTGTTAATCCCTAATCCACCATGAGTTGACATTGAGCTCATCTTGCTAATGAGCTGTTGTGAGCGTAACGAGATGATAAACATCAAAGGTGGGGCAGGCTTTGATCAAGTGTTCTGTAGAAGAGATTATGTCACTTGTTTCATGTTTATTTAGGATTAGCTACATCCCTTGATGCGACCAAGACCATACTTGAGATTATCAGACAGTTTGTCTGGATACAACCTGATGTCTCAACTGTACTTATTGGATTCTGCCTTGTAGCAAACTATGTGTGTGACAAGGACTTTGACCACTCTGTGCAGATGCATAACAATGCATAATGAACTTGGGGTATGATTCAATTATGTCACACAAGTCAAAGATAGGTTCCACTGTATTAAGAAACAGACGATAGATGCAATACTGTGTAATTTTATAACAATCAAATGAGTATTCAAATAGGAATACACATATATTTACAATTACCCTTGAAAAGTTCCAAAACCAAATAGAACTACTTAAATTATGATTACACTTGACCAATATATTTGGCAGTTTTTGCCGTTATTGTAAATCTTAATTAAAGATAGGATAAATGATAAAAATATGATAATGCATATCACCCACAAGTGTGTATTATACGCAAATAAATAAGTCTTGTATAAATAGATTAATTGGAAAGGGTGCTAACTGGGATTGTTCACTAGCCAATATATTAGCAAATATTCCCATGGGCGCTTATTAGAGCGAGGCGCTTATTACGTCAAATACTTTAGTTCTGTTTTTATGTATAAGAACCTATTTTATGCAATTTGCATTGCCTTGTTTACCTTTCCTTATGTTTTGATGTAATGCAAACATTTGAGAAAAATTCAGGTGAGCCTGCCTTATGGCACTACAGGAATTGTTTTCAGAAGATCAATTACAATTTTGTATTTTCTGTAAAATTTACTGTTTGCTATGGCTTTTTTACATTGGTTAACATGGTTTGGTTAACAGTTGCTTGATAAATTGTCATTACCTTACTCATTGAGAAACCAACTTTTTACCCTTTGTCAATATATGTGTGTTTCTTATATTTTTAATAACAAGCTTTTAAAGATGTTTTAAATTGTTTCAGGCACCTGAATTTCACAATGACACCAGATCAGACAAGTCATACAAAGGACTCTCCGGATGATGAATAATCCTCCCCAGAACAACTAACAGGTTCACCTCAGAAAGTGATGATTCTGAATGAATAATGCCACATCAGTGTGATTCTGTAGGTTGTTTTATTACGACATTAATCAAGTCTAAAGGAATTAATACCACAGCAGTGAGACTGTTTATGTGGTGTACACTGAAGCTGACTATACAAATCTGAATGACTTTTGTGGTTTACTGCACAAACATAATTGACTTTAGATATTCTTCTACCTTGAAGACCGCCTCCGTGGTCTTGTGGTAGAGCGTCCGCCCGGAGAGCGGAAGGTCCAGGGTTCGATCCCGGGCCGCGTCATACAAAAAGACGTTAAAAGATTGTACTTGTTGTTACCCTGTCTGGCGCTCGGCATTAAGGGGCTAAAACAAGGACTGGTCGGCTCGGAGTCAGTATACTGTGTCTGAGTGGGGTATTCATGTTAAACTGCGGCATGGTATCTCAGTGAGCTAGCACTATAAATCGGCATCAGTCCGGACTAGTACAAGCAGCCACACACACACATACACATGCATGCACGTCGCTATATAAGTGCAATAATCTTGGATGCGACGTTAAACCCAATTTCACCTCACTCTACCTTGAAATTCTTCTGAGATTTGACTAATTTGTTTATTTAGAAAATGGCATTGAAGCATCTGTTTCTGTTTTTGAATGTTCTTGCAAACACCTCTGGTTACTGAACCAATGAAATGTCATAAAATCAATAAATATGATTTTTTATCTTAACAAATTTTTTGTTTTGCTTCTTTAAAGAAATATGATATTGATCATTCATAACATAGGTGCTAACATATATCAAATATACTAATGCCCTGAATGTTTTCCTACAATTAATACAGCTCACTGAACAAAGTTTTTAGTTCCATGTCAGTAGAAAAGTTACATTGATATTTTTATGTACCAGTACTTTATTAGGTGTTTTCTGTGGATGCCATTAGTCTTATGCACCCATTTGGGTTAATGATATTCTGTTTCGAACTTCAATGAAACTCGTCTGTCAAGATGTAACAAGTATTGATACAATTCCAAAATAAACTTTTAATCTCATCAGGAACAAAGGCCCAAGTGAGCACATAGCCAATGACTTTCATTTTTTTGTCAGAGTGAGTATGGTGTTATGCCACTTTATGAGCAAAATTCAAACAATATTATGATGGGTGACACCAAGCAATGTACCGATGTGGTGAATCGAATGCTTCAACCACTAGGCTAGAACAAACTGGGAATATGAAGATGAAATGTAAGGATACCATCATACCAGGACTGAATGCTTTTCATTTAATACGCTGGACATCTAAATTGAAATATATATGAACTTGAAAAATGTTTTCACCAAAAGTACATGCCCATAGATCTCAACTTCAAGGGGATATTTACAACTAAAATAGCACAGCATATTACTACAGCTATCTGCTATGCCCAGGCTAACATTATTTACTAGGAGAGAGACATCTCGAAAAATTGCATCCGGATACCTGCCGGATACCTGCCGGATACCTTCAGCAATGTTCAATTTTCATGGTTAGTTTCCAATATATTTTTAGGTGTTTCACACTTAATTGAACAAAATGCACCCCCCAAATTGTGACATGTTTTTGGAAACTCAGAATGAGGTATCCGGTGCCGGATCCCTGGACACCCTGATTGAGGTATCCGGTGAGGTATCCGGTGCCGGATACCCGGATTCCAGGTGACATACTTTCCGGTGAGGTGTCCATGCCGGATACCACAGATCTGGTATCCGGCAAGGTATCTGCCACCGGATACCCGGACGCGTTTTGGGTAAGTGTCCGGTGGTATCCTGCAGGTATCCGGATACCGGAAACTGCATTTTTTTTGCTGTGTATGGTGAATATATTGATGTGAAGGCACCACGGAGGGCTGTATGGTGAATATATTGATGTGACGGAACCATGGATAGCTGTATGGTGAATATATTGATGTGAAGGCACCACGGAGATCTGTAAGGTGAATATATTGATGTGAAGGCACCACAGAGAGCTGTATGGTGACTATATTGATGTGAAGGCATCACGGAGAGTTGTATGGTGAATATATTGATGTGCAGGCACCACGGAGAGCTGTATGGTGAATACATTGATGTGAAGGCACCACGGAGAGCTGTATGGTGAAAAAATTGACGTGAAGGCACCACGGAGAGCTGTATGGTGAATATATTTATTTGAAGGCACCACGGAGAGCTGTATTGTGAATACATTGATGTGAAGGCACCACGGAGATCTGTAAGGTGAATATATTGATATGAAGGCACCACGGAGAGGTGTATTGTGAATACATTGATGTGAAGGCACCACGAAGAGCTGTATGGTGAATAACATCATGTAAAGTGCGAGTATAGTGTAGTTAATACAATCTGAAGAGTTGCATGGCAAGTAGATTGAAGTGAAGTCAGTATGGCGAGTTGCATACTACAAACAACACGCACTTGGCAGCGTTTAGTATAAACACAGTCCCACAGAGAACGATGACACGTAATCAACCATTTCACCTTCCCTGAACGACAATGTTGTTGCCTTTTTACAACAATCAATATGTGTTTGGAACATATTCTTATACTTATGAAACACAACTTGACAGTATGATATGTTTCAGGTGGGAGCGTTGTGTTGAAGATGGTGGGCGCTGAAGTCAATACCAAAGACTGGCATTTCGTCATCGTCATTACAGTGTCGTTCCTGACGCTGTTCTTCAACGCAAGTTTAACTTACGCCTCGGGTGTGCTCCATGTGGCGTTACTGGAGACGTACCACGCTGACGTTGATGTGACAGTCTGGCTCGGGTCTCTATTCTTTAGCATGTCAACTCTTGCAGGTTTGTCTGCCATTTGTTTGTTTGTTTGTCGGTCAACATCGCACTCAATAACATTCCAGCTCCATGAAGGTGGTCTGTATATAATCGAGCCGGAAAGAGACAATTCAGTGGTTGACATCATGACCATCGCTCTACGCAATTGGGATACGATAACATGCATCAACAAAGTCAGCCAGTCGGACCACTCTAACCCGTTAGTCGACTCTCACGACAAGAAAAGGTTGATCTAGTCTACGGCGCTGCAATTCGTTGTGCAAGCCAGAAACCTGTGATTGTGGGTTCGAATCCCGGTTCGCCCTGATTATGTCTTTGGTTTGTCAGATCGTGAGGTTTCACCAAAGCCGTGAACATCTGAGACCTGACCTTCATCACTTCGAGCTTTCCTCCCCACTTAAGCTAACACGGTGATACCAATGGAACACTGTTCAAAGCGGCTTGAAACTAAACTCACTCACTAATACTCTCGGAGTGTGTGTGTATGTGTGTGCGTTTGAGCGTGCGCGTGTGTGTATGCGAGTGAACACTGTGTGCCTGCACCAAAGCTTAATGTTCGTTCTAGCATTTAAATAACAGAAGTAATCATTTGATGTTGCAGATGTTTTATTGAATTTTTACATTTACATACATACTTTTGTATAATTATTTATTTCTATTACTGGGGCGGTGACTGATCAAACTCAACTATCAGTGTTCTTTCAACCATGACTGAACAATGAGAACTTTGATAATGCTCATTATAGAAACAGAGAGTGAGAGATAGAGAGAGAGAGAGAGAGAGAGAGAGAGAGAGAGAGAGAGAGAGAGAGAGAGAGAGAGAGAGAGAGAGAGAGAGAGATTGTAACATTTAAGACATGTTCTATTTTCTTATGTTTATTATAGGTCCACTTGCAAGTTTCATCATCAACGTAACAGACTGTCGCACCTGCGTCGTGATATCTGGAGTCCTAGGCCTTGTGGGTTTCTCTGCTAATGCATTTGTAGGCGATATCAAGTGGCTATTCGTTACATATGCCCTTCTTGCAGGTAGGTTCAGCGTGAGGTTAGGTGAGGTTTAACGTCGCGTCCAATATCATTACACTTATATGGCGACGTGCATGCACGTGTGTGTATGCTTGTACTACTCCGGACTAATGCGAATTTTAAAGTGGTAACCCACTGAGATACAATGCCGCAGTTTGACATTAATACCCCTCTCAGACATGGTATACTGACTCCGAGCCTATACTCCGGCTATACTCCAGCTACATGTATGGTGGCCTGTAAATAACCCTGTATTGATCAGAACAACTTGAATTGTTGAGAATTGGAACCATTGAGCGTGGCGCTGTGTGTGTATTAGTTCGGACTAGAGCGAATGTTGTGCTAGCCCACTCAGATACAATGCCGCAGTTTAACATGAATGCCCCTCTCAGACATAGTTTATTGACTCCGAGCCGACCAGATCTTGTTTTAGCCCCTTAAAGTCGTGTGTGTGTATGGCTGTGCGTGGCTGAGTGTGTGTGTGTGGCTGTGTGTGTGTGAATGTGTTCTTGAATAATCTTTGAAAGACCTCGTGTATCGCTACTTCAACAAACTGCACCCAACACAACAGTCATTGAGTTACAATTGTGTTGGTCGCAAAGCTCTCATTACAGTAAAGTATTATCATATTGGGTATTCTATATAGGACCTGAAGCATATGTTGTTGTTTTTTCAGGAGTAGGAACCAGCCTGGCTCACACGGGTGCTATAGTTGTCCTCGGATACCATTTTTCAGACAATATGAGCCTGGCTTGCGGCATCGTCGTGTGTGGGGTGGCCGTTGGTTTGTTTGCCCATCCACCGTTATGCCAGTTCCTCATAGATACATATGGGCTGCACCAAGCATTCCTCATCGTGGGAGCAATAGCGTTCCATTCATGTGTCTGTGGGATGCTCATGAAACCGACCAGATTCGAGAGGGAACGTCGCGCCAAGGTATTCAGTGGAAGACCAACACGTCTGACGCTGGTCATGACGTTGTGTGGAGTTTGTTCTGGTTATGCCAAAGTTTTCAGGAACAAATCGTTTCTGTTCTTTCTTATGTGTAGTTGTACATTCGGCATGGGCTCATCAGCTATGTATTTGTACCTCCCAGACTTTCTACGGAAACAAGGGATATCTCTTCAAGCAGCATCTTTCAGCGTTGCAACTTCGGGTGTAGGCGGCGTAGTCTCGCGTGTTCTCACGGGATTTGCAGCACAAGATCCAAACATTGGCAGTGGACTAATATTTGCTTCCCTGAACGGCCTCATGGGGGTGTTATCATTCCTCATCCCCTTATTCACATCAACCTCAGCAACAGTGTGTGTGTACGGCTTCTTCCTTGGACTCTACAACGGTAGCAGCTGGGCACTGTTTAATCCCATCACATATGAAATTCTTGGAATGGATCTCGTGGCAACGGGTTTTGGAGCTGTAATGGGTTCTTGTGGCTTCGGATTTCTCATTGGTCCGCCTTTAGCAGGTATTGGTTGCGAACCAGTTGATAAATGATGAATGAGTTAGTGTCATTTTAAGGCACTGTCAGCAATATTTCAGCTATATTATGGTGTAAATTTATTTATTTAATAATGGAATCTGGTTACGGTAAATCAGTGCTTGATTGCATATGCAACAATATGCATCATACGGACAAAATAACACACAATCAGCCACTCCCTCAGTAGTTTACCCCAATGCTATTCTGCCCTGTCTTGTCACACGACAATCATTGCATTAGTAAAACCTTCCATTTACGTCATGTAAAACCTACACATCGTAGATAAACATTAGTGCAATAATAAAATAAAGTTTGAAATGTTAAGTACATGTGTACTTGCAACTGGGCTGTACTTTGGACAATTGAACAGGATAGCGGTGTTGTTTTGGCGAACACCTGGTGTCATCACTGTTTAGTGATCAAATATAAACTGTTAACGCCCAGTGGAATCTGTTTCGGCAGATAATCGAGACCGATAGTCCTCTGGTGTTGACGTTTTATATTTAAATAGGGGGGAACACCGTTCCTCAGTTCACGCACCGTTACATAACACCCTTCTTTCTATCTTCCAGGATATGTCTTCCAAATAGCCAAGGTCTATTATGGCGTCTACATATTCGCAGGTACGTTGTATAGCGTAGCTTATACACACAGGTGCCCGTTTATTGGGGCATAAGACATTTTTACTTCACTATTTCGGATCACGTTAATTTCTCTAAGGCCCGTTTTATAACTTTTCTAAAATAGTAATAGATCGAAATCATTCCTGCCAACCAGGTATATTTTAAATGAACTTAAGTGATGTGTGGAGACAATCTCAGCCAACAAGAAAACAAGGCAATAAACATATTGTCTTTACAATATAGAGCCATGTCACCTGTAGAGTTTACAGCTTTGAATTGAATTGGGGATCTCACGTACATGATATTTATTCCCTTTCTACTCATAAAACTTGACGTGAACTCTTTGATGTAAGCGAAGAAGATAAGTAGCATGGACTTATTTAACTACATTGTTTTGGGACGGATTTCGATTTGAATCAAGGAACGTAGTATGTAGTTTTATATATTCAAACATGGTATTCTACATTATCATTATCTTCTTGCATACATGACAGGCATTGACGTTTTGAAGGACTGTTATTCCGCAAGCAATTGCCAACATCAGTGTACAATTTAAACTAAACTGACTGGCAAAAGAAAGTTGGCAGTTGAGAATTGGATTGGACAAAGAAATTACAAACGTTATCAAAACGTCATGAGGCTGAAAACAGCAGCCAAAATTAAGGTTTAAAACTTAACTCTGATACCTGTATTGAAACAGCAACATCGAATAACCACTTCTTGTTTTTAGTTCATTTTAGCCACAATCATACATAGGTGTAAACATTTCTCAAGCGTGAGATACTCATATTCCCCACCAATGATATATTGTATTGACTGTAAGATTCCCAACATTAAAGCCACATAGCATGTGTTTTGAGCATGTGCTGCGAACCTTGTTTTTTTGGTAAAACATTCTTTTAAAAATCCATATTTTATTAAGTACAATGGAGGTGTAGTGATAAGGTTGGGTGTAATAACAAGGAGATGACTATGGTAACACTTAAAAAAGGAAATCAAGATGTCCATTTGTGGTTGATGCTCCTGATGTCAATCTCTGGATTGTCTGGTCCATATGTGCGGCGTTAAACAACAAACAAACAATATCTCAGCTATATGCCGACGGTCTATAAATATTCGAATCTGGACAAGACAAATCAGTGACTGATATTATGAGAAATGTCCCAAGGCGTCGGGGTATGACTGAGTGAGAGAGTTAATATTAACATCACATCGGCAATATTTCAGTCATATCGTGAAGAGAAGTAAAACATTCATAACACATACATGTAGACTTTATGAAAACCTGTCATTGAAGGGCAGTACAATAACTAGAATATCACAGAGTCGATGTAAAACTAGTTGAGCAAAATTTAAAAGCAGAAAGATTTAACAACACAATATAACAAGAGTCATCAGAAAGATGACATATCCCCCCGGAAGCTGTCTGTAGTGAGTGAGTGAGTGAGTATGGTTTTACGCCGCTTTTAGCACTATTCCAGCATTGTACCCATGTCGGGAATCGAACCCGGGTCTTCGGCGTGACGAGCGAACGCTTTAACCACTAGGCTACCCGACCGCCCCGGAAGCTCTCTGTAAAGTAACCACAAGTAAATGTGCAATTCTGTATGTAATGCGTCAACAGTTGAATGTTCTTTAAGAGGCATACATTGTTTACCCACTGAAGTTTCGATCAAATACACTGAATGGTTTTCGAATTCTGCCCCGGAAACGAACCCCATCCCAAATTGAGTCTATGTCCAACTTCATTCCATAAAAATTTAAAAAAATAAAATTAGAAAAATCCCAAAATATCAAAAGGCACAACTTCAGTATGTGCCTGATATCTTTGCCACGTTTTGATCAAATACACTGAATGGTTTTCGAATTCTGCCCCGGAAACGAACCCCATCCCCAATTGAGTCTATGTCCAACTTCATTCCATAAAAATTAAAAAAAATATAAATTAGAAAAATCCCAAAATATCAAAAGGCACCACTTCAGTATGTGCCTGATAGATTTGCCAAGTTTTTATCAAAGACACTGAATGGTTTTGGAATTCTGTCCCGGAAAAGAAAATGATTACGGACTGACAGACGGACGGACAGACAGACAGACTGGCTGATCGCTATATCCCCCCGCATTATATGCCGGGGGGATACAAATGGGCTAGAGATCTTCAGTAACTTAAATTAGATCACCATACTAGGGACCATGGGGACGTACAGTGCCTTTGCTTCCTGCATGGACCCCGGCAGGATTTATATCATCCCTTCAGTCACTGGCGATAGTTTACCAGTTAAGCCTAAGATTAAAATGACAAAATACTACGTTTAAAACGTCTGGCATGCATAAAAATTCTTCGAATGATGTGGATTTGAAAACCGAACACATGATGTTACTAAAGTGCAACCGAATTCCATATGCTGGATTCCAGCTCCTAAAGACAAAGACCAGGCACCGGTTGCGAACCCTGGTACTTCCCCAATTTCAGTCAGAACAATGGGGAATCGCACAACTTGGTACTTGGGATTCAAGCGTGATTTCGAAAACGAGGTCCGCTTATTTGCCACGTTTTTTCCTCAATCTTGTCATTCACAGAAAATTCAATGATATAAATGATTTCATTGGATTTATCCAAAAATACAAGATCAGATTTGTTATTATGATTATTAATATCATTATTATTAATATTATTATCAATTAATTATTTATTTACACATGGTGTCATAATTCTAATTGTCTCCTCTCGTTCCATCAGGTGTGATGTTCTTCTCTTGCGCTCTCTGTGGCCTGCTGTCCACAACCTTCAGGCATTCAAGAAGGACTTGTCACGACACTGCGGATGCGCTGAGCCCAAATGAAGTTGAAATCATCAACCAACAAGAATGTGAACCATAGGACTCTAGCCTAATGTGATAAATTTGTTAGTTTCCATTGTTGTTATATATAACAGTTATTGATTGAAACTGGCGTGTTTGCTTATTTATTGCAGTCAAATCACCGTGAATTCGAAATTAATGCACATTTATCAGTGTTGGACAAAACCCTGTCCTTTGACGCGAAAGTATGACTAATTACCACGTGCTGTGAGGAACATTTCAGCCTGAATATAGGCAAGTAGCAGTGGATTTATATGAACAGTATCGCCACCTAGTACACATGCTTGTGGATCCGTGAAGATCCCGGGTAGAATAGGTCTTCAGCAACTCATGCTTGCAGTAAAAGGCGACTATGCTTGTCGGAAAAGGCGACTAACGGGATCGGATGGACAGGCCCGCGGTCGTGGTTGATGCATGTCATCGTATCCCAATAGTGGATTTACAGACCGCCGTCATATAGCTGTAATATTGCTGAGTGCGGCGTTAAACAACCAACCAACCAACCCAATTGTGTAGATCGTTGATCATGATATTAATCACTGGATTGTCTGGTCCTGACTCGATTATTTACAGACTGCCGTCATATAGCTGGAATAATGCTAAACAACAAACCAACCAACCATGTGATCTATTAGCTATGCAGGAGATACCGCAGTATAGAGAAGTCTTTACGCTGCCAAGTTTATCAGATCACTCGAGATGCCATTTTTGAAGGCCTTGGGGTTTCTTGGTACCTGACATTTTCTTTCTTCATGGAAGTGCCAAATTTCTTTGATACATACATGCCTGGGTTCATACGAGTCTACGACACCTTCATGATTATCAGCCATATATTCCAAAGGACGAATTCCTTAAATAAGCAAGGATGTTAAATTTCATTCCAGATCTTCATATATTGCCCCGGTCCAAAATATGTCATGTTTCTGAGGGCATATTTCCTGCTCTTTTGTTACATGCTTGTAACTGACTAACTACGCCATTTGTTTTGAGACCTTTGGCAGTCACGTCACAGTGGTAGCCGTTTCGACGACAGCAATGTCGCGCATTGGTCATTATATCAACATTTATGATCACCTCTTCACCAAGGGGCTCTTGTATCTTCTCATCTCGAAATATTTTACAGTTTCTTCATACATAGGAACCCTCCTTGCCATTTATCATTTTGCTGGAGATCTGATATTGTATAATTGACAATCGTTTACACTGTGCAGCGAGCATGCCTCTGCATATACATATGGATTGATGAGATGTTAGTGTAGCCAATACCCATGAGCTAGCGTAGGCGAAGAATGCCAAAGCAGGAAAGCATTAGATGATGAGTAAACTGGTTGAGGAATAAGTCCCTCCATGGCCAAGTCGCTCGAATTCAGTTGGTTCAAGTGGACCATGAACTTGTGATAAACGAACTCATTCAAACAACTGTGTTTTGGTACACACAAACAGCTTCTTATTTTGATATTTGTCTGCCACTGTTGTATGATGATTTTGTTTTATTTCTATGTTTTCTTGTGACAAATTAAGCACAGTATTCATCACATTTTCACATTTATCAGGAAATATGTTTACGACTTCTCGAAACCTCGTCTCAGACGAAGGTTGTTTTCGTTGCCGTTTCACATCAAAGTTCTTCCTTGCCTTTCTATGGAATTCATACATATTCACCCTGCCACCAACAAGCCTCTTCTTCGCTTTCTTCCAATCTGAGAATTAGTGATGTCGGTCAGCACTTCCATGATGAATTGAATTGCTGAACTAAGAGACAACTATGTAATGGAAATAGAGACGTGCTCACAATGAGTGCACAGAACGGAAAAGACTTCAAATTTGCCAGACAAACTTATACAACCCTTGATCGTCCAGTCAGTAGAAGGACAGTGTCCAGAAGATTGAGACTACATGGTGTTTCGGGTGCATATACCCTTCGGTGGCGTAGCCCAAACGTTAGGTCCTTAGCAACCCATGCTTGTCGTAAAAGGCGACTAACGGGATCGGGTGGTCAGGCTCGCTGACTTGGTTGATGCATGTCATCGATCCCAATTGCGTGGATCGATGCTCATGATATTAATCACTTGATTGTCTGGTCCAGACTCGATTATTTACAGACCGCCGTCATATAGCTGGAATATTGCTGAGTGCGGCGTTGAACAACAAACCAACCAACCCAAACGTTAGTGGCAGTACAAGAACTAGCAAATTGGTGCCACACACGGCAGGGATCACTACCAATTTTTTGCCCTGTCCGCCAACATCTTCGGACATGTCCCCTAAAGAGCATCCGTGCGATATTCGGGATAGCCGGATCAGAAAACGACCAGTTCATCCACAATTCATCAGGCGTGCATTCAGTACGTCCGCTAAACCGAAGCACTCCGAGTGGGCGCTCGCGAGACTTATCGAACGGTAAGCTAGCGAAGCAGTCGAGAGGGCGCTAATTTCAACATGGCGTCCCCATTCATGATGCGACGCTTTGTCATGAAGAATAGTGATTATTCCAAGGAGTAGGCCTTAAGTGTCCACCCTGACGTATATTTCAGATGTCAAGAAGGTTGGTATTAATGTTAGGATGCATTTTAGAGGCAGACTAACTCAAACTTTCTCGATGGTTACAGGGTTACAGGGTTAGAAACTAACAGTTTTTGTCCACTAGTCCTTATAATGATAACATACAGCAAAACCTTTAAAATGGGCCAATTTCTACTAGTCCTTAGGATACCTTTACTATTGGGAAATTTTGTAAGGACTATAGGACAAGTGCCAATTTCTAACGCTGTAGTTATTAGATCAGTCAGGTGCTCTTGTGCCGAGGTAGATATATCATTGGTTGGTTGGTTTGTTGTTTAACGCCACACTCAGCAATATTCCAGCTATATGACGGCGGCCTGTAAATAATCCTGTCTTGACCAGACAATCCAGTGATTTACATCATGAACATCAATCCACGCAATTAGGATCGATGACATGCATCAACCAAGTCCGCGAGCCTGACCACCCGATCCCGTTAGTCGCCTTTTACGACAAGCATAGTCGCCTTTTACGGCAAGCATGGGTTGCTGAAGACCTATTCTACCCCGGATCAGCTGCATACAGTAAAGATGACGATGTCAGTTGGGATCTTCTCTGCAGTTTGGGACAACTAGCACCACCAGACCTGACAAATCCAAAGAAAGTCAGATTTATTGAGATTCTGGAACCTTCAATTCCTAAAGGTATTTTGTCATTATTAATGAATATATAAAATTTCTTATATTGACAGGTTACTTTTGAGATTAATGCAAAAAATCTAAAACCAAACAAAATAGGTCTAATGAGGTCAGAAAACGACGATTATTTGAAACACTTGAAGCTGCAGAACAACTGATAAAACATATGCTATCATTTACATGCATATTTGTTTAGTACTGTGTACACCTAAATATGTATCTACAAAGCACATATGATAATACTAAAACGTTAATTTCTAGATGAAAACTAATTGCGACTTTTGGATATCTTTCCAGACTCTGCTCCGTCATCCCCATTTGACGATCCATCACCCCTAAGGGACCTAGCACCTGAGACTCAAGGTATGTATTTTATATACCATATAACAAACATTAAAGAGGTTCATGTGTTTAAGAAAAATAGCAGCTTCACAGATTGTTGATTATTCAAAAAAGAAACCATTATGTGAGTGCAATCCAGTAAATGTATCATTTAACATGGATATAAATCAAATTCACGAAACTGATATAGTTTCCTCTCTTTGTTCAACATAAATAGATCTCAATTAGTCCTGTCCAGCTTTGGGAACTCATGAAATATCTTTAATCGTCTATGCCGGGTGCTTTTGTGGTAAATAACCAACTGTAAACATACAACCATTTCTGTCAGTGTATTGTTTTTGGCATTACATAAACATCCTGACAAAATAAACTACTCAAAAGAAGTTAAAGATCACCCATTGTTCACATGACCAGTTTATCTGTCATATGTGTGAGTGAGTGAGTGAGTTAAGATTTTAAGTCACATCGGCAATATTTCAGCCATATCGTGACTTTCAAAAGTTATATATAATAAATACATGTAAACCATAAAAACATGTCGACAAGGGACAGTAAAATAACTAGACTTATCACAGATTAGTATGTAAAACTAGCAGGGAACCATAAAAATACATCACTAGACAGGACAATACATTATAAAATGGGCTATAGATCGCCAGCAACTGAAGGTAGATCACCATACTGGGGACCATGGGGACTTACAGTACCTTTGCTACCTGCATGGGCCCCAGCAGGATTTACATCATCCCTTCAGTTGTTGGCGACGATTAGGGAATGTAGCTGTATTTAAAAGAACATATATTCTACGATTAAAACTATGATAGGAATAACAGACGTCGAATGATATGGACTTACTATGCCCTCTCAGGGGGACAATAATTTTACAGTACTTTAACCCCCGTCAAGGGCACAGCCATTAACAATCTCAGTTCACAATTAGACACTATCAAATTAAGAAACAATTATGTACATCAAAATTTATTTATCAGTTCAATTTCTTTTAAAAAGTTAATTATTAAATGAGACGAAACATTATTAAAAAGATCCAATATTGAAGTTGCACTGAAATATTTATCCCTTGTGATGGAAAAATCAATACAGTCAAGCAGAACATGCTTGACCGTGATTCTCTCATCACAAGGGATACAAAATGGAGGATCCTCGCTTTTTAAAATATATTCGTGTGTATACCTGCTATGGCCAATACGACATCGTCGCATAATGACCTCTTCAAATCTGGACTGACAGCCCAAGTAGGTGTAACCAATATTTGGTTTAATTACATGTAATTTATTGATACCGACTTGGGAGTCCCACTTCTTTTGCATAAGATCACAAATATAAGATCTGATTACAGGTTTAAAATCAGTGTATTGGATCAGAAGTGGTGTCACAGATTTGTTGAGTGCTGCTTTAGCAGCAGCATCAGCCATTGAGTTGCCTTTGATGCCCACATGACTGGGCAACCAACAAAAGA